GCTCTAACCACTGAGCTACAGGACTCCAATAATTATTATTATTATTATAATACTGGGGATCACCCTCGTTGCTCTCCTCTGCACTGTCTCTATGGCCTGAGCAGCCCCTTATGTCACAGTGACCAGAGCTGTGTGCAGTGTTCAGCGCCTTGGGCCGTCCTCCCCACGTGAAAGTCGCTATACAAATATAATCCTGTTGTTATAATAATAATAATCCTTGCATTTGATATAGCGCTTTTCACGTCGGGAGGATGTCCCAAAGCGCTTCACAGAACATACTGTAAAGTGAATTGACTGTATATTTGTGGGCGAACGCGGCAGCCAATTGCGCACAGCAATGTCCCACAAACAGTCGTAGATTGTAAATGACCAATTTATTATTGTTTTTGGAGGGATTATTATTAGGCTCTGTGTGGAGTAAGGAAACTTGCCCAAGGTTTCGCACTCTGCCTGGAATTGAACTCAGGTCTCTCACTTGCAAAGCGAGTGCTCTAACCACTGAGCTACAGGACTCCACGTTGTTGTTGTTCAAGGTGCGCCCTGATCAGAGCAACGTACAGTCTGACAATGACGTCTGGGGATCTGAACTCCACTGATTTAGCATCTAGCCCAGGGTCCTGTTTGCCTCGTTTATTGCTGCCTCACATGGTCAGACATAATGAGAGACGAGTCATCTAATACCGCTAGATCTCTTGCAGCTTCCCCCTTCTCAAGTTCCATCCCATCTTACTAGCTATATGTACACCTTGCATTTATCTGTTTTGAACCTCATTTGCCAGTTATCAGCCCATGTGCACCCCCTATCATGCTCTCTTTGTTAGACCTTTGGTGGTTAGGGGCCTCACTATAGACCCCTAAGCGCTCCCTCCATTTTGACCGCACTCCCCTAACAAACACACTTTGCTTCCTTCCCATCAGCCAATTCTCAATCCAGGACAGAGGTAAAGACCACAACTTGCACTTTGTCATTCCTTTCAGCTTGGATAATGTCCCAAAGTGCTTTCCAGAGACAAAATCCAAGCAGGGTGAGAAATTAGGAGGGGGGTGGGTGGGATAGAAAAGTGATGACCCAAGACGTGATCAAAGATGTAGTTTTTTAGAAGGGTATTGAGAGGGGAGAGGGGGGTTTGTGAGGTCGAGGGGAGCATCCTCTCAGTTGCTAACAGTGAGGCAGTGGAGACGCAAGAGGCCTGAATAATCGGTTGGTGTGGAACAGTCTTCGGAGACAGGGATCCAGCCAATAGTTCTATCATTGTATCTATCAACTTTTCTCAGAGCTGTTTTCATCCATTCCAATTGATGTCCTAAGACACTCTGAGCTCTCTCACTGTGTAATCTACTCAACAACAATTACTTGTATTTATATAACATCCTTCACGCAGGGTAGCAACTCAACCTCTGGCACATGGAGAGCCGGAGGAATCTGTATTTATATGGCGTTCCTGAGAGGTTTCAGTGGCTCTCAACTATCAGCTGAATGTGTTTGTTCAGTCTCCTGCTCATGGCTGACCGACCGAGACAAAAGGTCAATATTCAAAAATAGGAAGAGGCTAAAACAACAAGTAAACCCAAGATGTGTTTTGAAAGGAAGTTTTGGACCAAACCACTATATCAACAACAACAACTTGCATTGTATAGCGCCTTTCATGTAGGATTACATCTCAGAGCACTGCACCATGGCTGCTGAGTAAGAGAGAAGGGGAGCTGGCAGGAGTGATCATAGGCCCAGTCAAAGAGCTAGACCTTAATATGGGATTTAAAGACAGATAAAGAGGTGGTGAGGTGGAGGGACAGAGGCAGGGAGTTCCAGAAGTCAGGGCATAGCGGCTGAAGGCATGGCCATTGATGGGGGGAGGGGGACTCCTCCCAAACCTGTGGATAGTTAGTCGATAGTTGATGATATGCTTGGTACGCAATTCTCAGCCAATTTAAAAATCATTTCATATGCAAGAAATGATAATTTATGGAATGGGTTAGGAATACTGTAATCTCCCCCTCCCCCCATATCAAAAATAATAGCCTCCTGGTCCTGGCGAGTCCTTTCCCACGCAGTTCAGGACAAGTTTAGCCGCTGAATGGAAAGATCTGCTCACTCTCACTTCTGCTTATTTGATCAAAGCCTCCTATTGTTCTCTTGCTGTCTTACTCTGATCCCAAAGTGCTAGTGAGCATGTGGTTCATAAATCACACTCTCCTTACCACAAATTGTGCATCTCATCTGGTCTGGTATCTGCTGTCTAAAGATGCTCTTCCTCTCAATGCAGCACAAAGCAGATAATATCCCCAAAGTACCATTTCACTGAGGTATTATCAGCAATCTGAACCCATTTACATGACATTACCAAGGTCACCAGGGGTCTGGCTGTCCAGCAGCAGAATTTAGGCCAACGACAACCTCCGATGCTTTGTATGTTGATCAGGTACCTGGGCGTTAACATCAGATAGACAAATTCACTCCATTTTGGGGTCAGTCGGGTGTCTGACACACGCTGAAACCAATCACCATGCTTAAGAGCATCCAAACCAAGCTAAGAATTCCATGCACCCCACTCACGCATCAAAATCCCAGAGACAGATTGTTGGAATGGAATGCGCGCTCTCTCCCTGGAGGGATGCATTCTGCTTAACTCATTTCGGACACTCTTGCCAATGAGCCAGGCCTGCTGTGCTGCTATCAGCAGTGCCCTGGAACACTGCGGACTCTTCTGGCTCACTCTCATGTCACCTTGGGGCCAGTTCAGCTCCGAGGAGACCCCCGCTTACCTCGCCCTCAAGGAGGATACTCACTCCATCTGTCCTTTAACCATAAATGTTAGGCAAAACCTTAGGCGAGTTTCTTTACTTCACACGCCTCTGTTTACTGGCGGTAGTTGACTGGCGGATCGTTTCCAGGTGTAATAAAAAAATAATTTGGTCACTCAATCCAAGACTGTTTGTGGGACATTGTTGTGGACAATTGGCTCTCACGTTTCGCCCACAAAATACACAGTCAATTCACTTTACAGTATATTCTGTGAAGCGCTTTGAGACATCTCAATCATGCGATAAGGCGCTATATCAAATGCAAGGATTATTATAATAATTTTAAAAATGACTATTAGAAATGACTGAAAAGCACTGAGCTAAGAGTACGTGATTGAGCTACAGGAACATGATGGACAAATTTGTGGTTTGCTTTACTGCCCAAATACAATGAGACAAAAGACAAAAGCTCTGAGTCAGCAGCAGGCTGTGTTGTCACCTTTTGTCAAGTGTAAAGCCACACTCTCCTACGCCTGAGCAACCATTTGATAAGCTCAGATTCTTCAATCTTAAGAAAAGAATGACTCAGAAGGAACCTCATAGAGGTGGATAACATTTTAAATGGGATTGAAAAACCCAGGAAGAGCCCTCATACAGAGAGCTGTAGCTATTTGTTCTCATCCTCCAGATACATTTGGGTCACACTCTCATCCCTGAGTCAAAAGGTCCCACATTGAGACCTTGAACTCACACAGTTCACAATAACTTGCATTTATATAGCATCCCTCATGCAGGGGAGTGTCCCAGAGCTTCACAGGCAGACACTCTAATTTGGTGGGAAGATACTGCATTATTGAAGGTGCGTTTTTCAGATGAGGCATTAAGCTGAGTTCCTGTCTGCTCGGGGTCTAACACCAGTCTGTATGCTACAATGTGTTAATCCAGAGTACAACAATAATAATAATAATAATAAGTTTGATTACTAAAAGGGCAAAAGCCGAGGTTAGGAGAATTGTTTTATATACAGAGGGTTGTGAGGAAACAGTAGTCGAAGCAGAATCGACATGGGGCTTTGAGAGGGAATTGATAAATAACTGGATCTAAATGGAGTGTGAGTAAAGGCGGGGGAAGGGGACTTGATGGAGAGCTCATTCAAAGTCAAGCAAAGCACGATAAGAGGAAGATGATGGCAATGGTGCCACACGTTTGACGCTGAGCTGAGCCTGTGCTGCCCACCAGGAACCTCACAGGGAGACCAGATACCTGATGGCCAGCCTGACTTGTCAGCAGGACGTGGACGAGTCATTTCAAAACACACAAATCCTACAGTCATCAAGTGGCTTATTCAGTCTCTCATGGCAGGTTCTGCAGATGGTCTGACTGAAGCTGATATCAGAGCACAGGTGAGGGTGATAATAATAATAATAATCTTTGCCTTATCACGTCGCCGAGCACTTCACAGGATTTACTGTGCAGTGGACTGTGTGTTTGCAAGCGAATGCAGCAGCCCATTTGTGCACAGCAATGTCCCACAGACAGCCATGAAGTGAATGACCGATTTTATCTCGGGGGATTGTTGGGAGAGAGAAACTCCCTTTTCTTTGCAAATACTCTGCCCTAAAGGACAACATCCAACAATGTCCAGGACCCCTTTGTCTGGGCATCACTCTATTCCATTCTGTGTTCCCTCCATCACAGTCAATAACACGATTGCTTCACTGTGTGCAAGAATACACAATCAATAATATTTTTCCGCTTATTCTGAATGGTCCCTGACAATTACAGAAGAACAGTAAATGCTGGGATGGACTAGCTGGGTTGAAAGGATTATTTCCGTGCCGTATCCAATTCAGGAAAGGCAGTGATTCATTTGGTAGTTACTTAGTACATTCCTTTTCAAGGGGCAGAGCCTTAACATCAGAACCAAGACAGTTAGAGCTGAGATCAGGAAGCATTTCCTCACACAGACGGTTGTGAGGATGTGGGACCCGCAGCGCCAAAAAGCTGTAGAGACGCAATCAATAGGGATTTTAAATGAGAGGCAGAGACTTGGGCAGTAAAGGTATAAAGGAGTAAAGTGAAAAGGAGAGGTATTGAGATTAAAAGATCTGCCAAGATAAACTGGCTCAATTGGTTGAATGGCCTCTGCCTCTTCGTGTTCTATGATGTTCCTATATTAGATATATCGTTTACACAGATTTCTCGGAGTCAGAAGAAGAGAAAGGTCACGTCCAGAGAATTTCATGTGAAACCCTCACCTCATCAGGAACCATCACCAGGGGATACTTGTCATCGGACAGGAAGTTGAAGAGACACCAGAGGCGGAAGGCATCGCGGTCGGTCACGGTGCAGTTCCCGTTCTTGTCATGTTTGTAGTTCTTTTTGGCGGTCAGAGTCCAGCACAGCTCATCAAAGCTCTCCTTCAGGAAGGCCCCCTCTTCAACCTGCAGTGAGACCACACCATTGGTGTTTAAGATCCAGACACAAATCTCATTTCACATGTAGCAAGCGCGCAGTGACTTTCAGCATCATGGTCCATAATAATAATCCTTGTATTTGACATAGCGCCTTATCACATCGTTCAGACGTCTCAAAGCACTTCACAGGATATACTGTGAAGTGGATTGACTGCATTTTTGTGGGCAAAGCGCGGCAGCCAATTATGCACAGCAGTGTCCCACAAAGAGTCATAGATTGAGTGACCAATTTTATTTAGGGGATTGTTGGCCAGGAGACAAGAGAAACACCTCCTCCTTTCAAATAGTGTCGTGGGATCTTTAACGTCCACCTGAACAGGCAGACAGGACCTCGGTTTAATGTCTCAGCTTAAGGACGGCACCTTCCACAATGGCACCCCTTCACACTCCGTTCCCCCCCACCCCCAGATGTCAGCCGTGATTGTGACCTCAAAGACCCCATTTTGGGCCTTGAACCCACAAAAGTGTGACCCAGAGGCAAGAGCGCTACTGCCTGAGCCAGGCTGATGAGAGCAATCAATACTCCTTCGGCTGCCCATGCAGAGTCAAGAACGACTATCTTCGTCTCCAAACACGGGAGCGATGGTATGGGCTGATGCTGCATTGAAACACTTTAAGATTGAATTTGGCACCAGATTAAACTGACGAAACCTTTCTGGTCTGGTCTAGTTTCTCAGACTATTGATGGATCATTGAGGTTTGGGGAAAGCTTCAAGCCTCCTCCATTCCCGCTCTCAGAATTTGGCAGCACATCTTAGAATAACACACTGTGCTGTCATTGAGAGTTGCGATGTCCACACTGCGCTAGAGCCAGAATACACCCCAGATACAATCCAACGCAAGCAGGCACTTATTTCAGGAATAAGACTTTTCAAGTGGTTCTGAGAAGATTACTGACTACAAGCACGAGGCGTAAGTAGTTCAAGTATAAATAATAATCCTCGCATTTGATACCAGGAGAACAACTCAAAGTGCTTCACAGGATTTACTGTAAAGCGTCACAACTGCGCATTTGTAAGCAAATGTGGCAGCCAATTTGCAAACAGCCACAAAGTGAGTCATCAAAGGTGGTACAGTCCCACCCTCCCCCCCAGCAATGTGCTGGAGTGTCAGCCTAGTAGGGCTTAGTAAGGCTTCGATTAAGAAATATAAATTTTGTTAAACGTGCCCAGGATTCAGTGACTGACTACAACGTTCACAACATGAACAATAATCAGCCCAAAGTTCACCGTGACCGTAGCAGATAAACCTGCGCTGTGAGCTTACCTTGTCCAGGATGTACTTGTTGAGGTAGGGCATGTAGCCCTGGCTGGATACCGGCCCATCATCATCATCTCTGAAATGCTCCTCGAGGGCCACGGGGTCATGAGGGATGTGCAGCACTGTACACAGGTTGTGAGAGAGCACCTGGAGAACACAAGCAAACAGTGGCATTAACTCCTGCACCATCTCCAATACCCAACTTTAGGCACCTCCAAGCACTGTGTCTGTTACCTTAGAAATCCAGCAAGATAATTGGGCAGCACTGAATACATACAACAGCAACAACAACAACAAAATTACATTTATATAGTGCCTCTCACGTCGGAAAGACGTCCCAAGGTGCTGGACAATTAAGGGTCCGCATCTGAGCTGGGGGTTGGAATCAAGGGGGGAGGTGTGTGGGGGTGAGGGGGGGAATGGGAGGGTGGCCGAAGGCATGACCAAAAAGGAAGGTCATGAAACTGGTTTTGAAGGAGAGGGGTGAGGCGGAGGGGCTCTAGGATGGAGTTCCAGCTGAAGGCCCAACACCCGACGGTGGGGCAGACAGGGCTGGGGACATGAAGCAGGCCAGTGCCCACCAATCCGAGGGAGAGGACAGGTTGGTATGGTGTTAATAGGTCGGAAACTACCCTTGAACATAGTTCCACCCCACTCAGGCGGCAGCTTTAAACTCAGCATCAGCAACATCAGCCCTCGCTGACCTGCCGATGTCCCTGAAAACACTGGGAGGAATGAGTAGCGCAGCCCCTTAACAGCCAAACAGCTGTAGCTTCTCTCTGCTGGAAGTCAGTGTCCAGTGTCTACCTTTTGATAGACAGACACACAGACACTGACTGTCAATGATGGCACTGTCTGACTGACAGTCTGCACTACAGAACAACAAGATTACATTTGTGTAGCGCCTTTCATGTCGGTAGGACGTCCCGAGGCGCTGAAACCCACAGAATAAGCCTCAGGTCAACAATATTCAATGTTGCTTTAAATATTGTTCTTTTTCCATTTTTAAAATCTAAAATAGAAACGTCAGATAGTCAACACCCAAAATCTGCAGCGACAGCTCAGACCTGAAAGATTACATAAAATGAGAAGCTCACAGGAAACTTTAAAAAAAAGGATAGAAATAGCGGTGGGAGACACTATCCTGGGTGAAGGACACTATCTAAATGCACGTTGTTGTTGTTGAGTATTTGGGGATATCAAAACAGGCAATAACATACACACAAATCACTAGAGATTTCCCCAAGTCAGTCCGGAGTGGAATGCACACTCTCTCCCTGGAAGGACACATCCTGCTTACCTAATTCCAGAAAGTATTAGGTGCCGGTTGGGTATCCCAGAGTGTGCGTTGGGGTAACTGCTGGAGTCTAACCAGTTAAAACCGCACACCTTGCCATTGAGAGCACAGTCTGGCAAGCTTTCCTGCTGCTTGTCCAGCTCGGACCACCCTACCCGTTCGGGCTATGGCCTGCAGTGTTAACAGGAGCTGAGTGGGTCGAGTTGCTCCCGGTATATAAACTTCAGCAAGAATCCCCTGACCTGTGGGCCCCAGGCTCTCGCAGAGGCTTCTCTCCTTGCGGTGAGGATGTAATATGTGGCGTCATGTACCTGGGCTCGAGGTATAAGCAACGATTAGATAAGCCGTAGCTCTTCACCCTCACAGAGAGAAGTAGGTCTCAGTGGGGGCCATATAGCAGTAGTAGTGAAGACTCTGTCCCAGGACAGGCCACAGTGAGCAGAGCTTATCCAGAGCTGAGGTCTGCAGTGAGCAGTTGGCAGCAAGCACAGTGTATGAGTCTCTGACTCATGTGGTTCTGCCTTTCTGTTCATCATTCATCCACAAAATACAGTTAATTCACTTTACAGTATATCCTGTGAAGAGCTTTGAGACGTCTCGAAGACGGGATAAGGTGCTATATCAAATGCACGGATTATAATTATCATTTCCTGCCTCTGTCCCTCTCTGTGCTGATTTATCTCTTGGTGGGTTTGTTCTCTGTCTCTTTCTCTCTCTACTGTGTATGTCCTTCTATCATTCTGTCCATCTCTCTCTCATCAGTCTTTCTCTGTGAGTCTGTCCCTCCTCCTGATGTGAAAGCGCTAAATAAATGTAATCTGTTGTTGTTGTCAGTACAGTATTTCATTGTGCCCGGCTGTCAGGCTGTCTCTGGTGAGCCTTTCCCTCTCTCTGTCTGTGGCAAATTATCTCAACCTATCCTGCTGCTTCCCATCGCTGTTCCCCCCGCACTCACTCTCAACCGTTTAACACGGAGGCCGTTACACTGTACATTTCCCTATTCCCGGTACGTTACTCAAGTTTGACACTTAAGTAACTCTCTCGTCCGTTAGTTCTCTCCTCCTTCACACTCATGCCTGTTCCTCCTCCCAGCCCCCCCCACCTCTCTGTATTCCTTCATGGAATCCAACTCATGTTAAACCTAAGCTGTACACACTGCGTATGTGTGTGTGTGTGAGGGTGTGAGGGTGGGGGCGAGGGCTGGAAGTTGAGGTGAGGGCAGTGATGGGAATATAATGGTTGGCCTTCATATTCACACAATGTGAACACCTGGGTGTGGGTATTTATTTAGTGTAGAAGCTGCTGCTGGCACAGCAACCACACTCTGAGGCAGGACCGGTGTACGCTGGTATCAGGGAATATCCCAGACGATCAGACCACTTGCTAACCGCATGTGCAAAGACCATGCCCCTGGCAAGCGATCCACCAACGGCTTAACAACAAGTAAGGTTCTTACTTACTGCTCGGTAAACAGAGGCATGTGGAGTAAGGAAACTTGCCTCGGGTTTCGCCCCAGCCGGGAATCAAACCCAGGTCCTCTCGATTGTGAGGTGAGCGCACTAACCACTACGCTGCGGGACTCCTTAATATAGTAATCTAACACCGCAGTGAATAAATAATAGTTTCACCAACAGGACACAGAGACGTGAGGGGTGTCAAGTGAATGTGGTGGGCACGTTACTGCAGTGATGGGCAGGTCAGGCCTGCAAACCAAGGCATTGGTAACAATGCCTCAATAATTTGGTAACTCAAACCATGACTGTATTATTCGCTGCCGCGTTTTACCCACAAAATATACAATCAATTCACTTTACAGTATATTCTGTGAAGTATTTGAGCCATCTCGAAGACGTGATAAGGCGTTATATCGAATGCAAGGATTATATCATTATTATTATTGGTACCGAATAGCTGTGGAGAATAATATAAGGTTAATTTTCAAGATGCAATGTTAGTGCATATTGATGATGGAATGGGAAGATTGGTGGATAGAAAAATAATCCTTGCGTTTGATATAGAGCCTTTCATGTCCAAAAGATGTATAAAAGTGCTTCACAGGATTTATTTTAGAGTATTGTGAATGTATTTTTGTAGGCAAATGCGGCAGCATGCCTAGTAATGTCCCACAAACAGTGACTAATTTTAATTGGGGGATTGTTGGCCAGGACACTGGCAGGAAATACTCTTCTTTTTTCGAATAGTCCCGTGGGATCTTTAACATCCACATGAACAGGCAGACGGGATCTTCGCTTAAGAGCTTATCTGAAAGTCGGCACCTCTGACAATGCAGCGCACCCCAGCACTGCACTGGAGCATCAGCCCTAAATATTTGAGTTCAACATCCTGACGCGGGCCTTGAATTGGTTTGAAAGCTAGAGGTGAACACTGCAAAATTCTTCTCTTTGTGTAAGGATCTGTTTCTATAAGATTCCAAAAGCTACCTTTTAGGACTCAGCCAAAGAGTAAAACTGCCTAAAAACAACGACAAATTACACTTGTACAGCGCTTTTCACGTCAGGAGGATGTCCCAAGGTGCTGGACCTTCAGGGATTTGGACCCAAGCTGGGAGTTGAGGGGATCAGGAGGTGTGAAGGTCAGGAGGGTATCCAAAGGCACGAATGAAGAAGAGGAACTTGAGATGTGCCGAGAAGGAGGCAAGGGAGGGCGCGAGGCGAAGGGACTGTGGAATGGAGTTCCAAAAGGTGGGGGGAGAGAGGCTGATACAACAACAACAACAACAAGATTCCATTTATAGAGCGCCTTTCACATTGGGAGGACGTCCCAAAGCGCCGTACAGTTGGGTCAGGACCCGAGCATTGGGGGAAATGGTCAGGGTGAGGGGAGGGAAGGGAGGGAGTGAGGAGGGGGGAAATGGTCAGGGTGAGGGGAGGGAAGGGAGGGAGCGAGGAGGGGGGAAATGGTCAGGGTGAGGGGAGGGAAGGGAGGGGGCAAGGAGGGGGTAGAGAGTTGAGAGGGGAGCTGAAGGCACGGTCAAAGAGATGACCGTGATGGCTCAATTGCTGATGGTGGGGCAGGCTGAACGGGGGACGTGAAGCAGGCCAGAGCTGCTGAGCAGAGGGTGCGGACAGGTTGATATGGCAATCGTTCTGGGATGCTACCCTGGGTGAGGAGCGCTGTACAAATGCAAGTTGTTGTTGGTAATTAAGGGTAATTAACTGAAGAGTTCTTTTGAGGTTTCTCTAAATAATTCTGGGACAAAATGGTTTCTAATAAGAACAACAACTTGCATTTACACAGCGCCCCTCATGCAGGGTAGCGCCCCAGAGCGCTGGACAGTGGGAGAGCACGATACCGAGTTGGGGGGCAGAGGGAGGTGACCATAGGCACAGTCAAAGAAGAAGGTCCTCAGGGGCAACTTGAAGATGGGGAAGGCAGGGGCAAGGCAGAGGGATTGAAGAAGAGCGTTCCAGAGTTCAGGGGTGCGGTGGCTGAAATGGAACTAAGACATTATTGTAGCTCAGTGGTTAGAGCACTCGCTTTGCAAGTGAGAGACCTGAGTTCAATTCCAGGCAGAGGGCGAAACCTTGGGCAAGTTTCCTTACTCCACACAGAGCCTAATAATAATCCCTCCAAAACCAAAAACAATAATAAATTGGTCATATTCAGTCTACGACTGTTTGTGGGACATTGCTGTGCGCAATTGGCTGCCGCGTTCGCCCACAAATATACAGTCAATTCACTTTGCAGTATGTTCTGTGAAGCGCTTTGGGACGTCCTCCCGACGTGAAAAGCACTATATCAAATGCAAGGATTATTATTATTACAATCTGGGACACAGCAATGGCATATCTAAGTTTGGATCAAACTTTTGTCAGAAGAGGAAGCAATC